ATTAAAGAAAGAAGGAAGGAAAGATTTGAAAAATGGAGAAATCTCCAAATTGACAGGCCAAGAATGGCGTGAACACCAGGAAGTCCATTGGTATTTTAAAATTCTTGCAGATTTGGCTGAAGAAAACCATGATCGGGTATATCCTGGTTATAAATTTTCTCCAAAAAGGGGTAAAGAAACATTAAAAAACATGAACGATAATAAAAAAACAGAAGTCCATAGAGAAGTGATACTTGAACCAACTTCTCTAAATACTAATGACGCGGATAATCTGCAAGAAATTAGACATATTAATGATTTTCCTTGTGATTTTTCACTTTATACCGATAATTCGGAAATGATGAATGATTCTCCCTGTGAATGTTCATTTTATACCGATGCTAATAAGGAAATGAATGATTTTCCTTATGATTTTTCGCTTTATACTGATAATTTGGAAATTATGAATGCTTTTCCCTGTGAATTTTCATTTTATAACGATACTAATAATAATGATCTAGAAACGATAAATAATTCGTTTTCCGAAATCCCAGATCAAAATTTTGATCAAGGAACTTTCGATATCGAAGATTATATAAATTTGGATCCATAACATTATCTCCGGTTTCTCGCTTTTTTTAAAAAAATCGACAATTTATTTTATGCAATTTATTATTTTTAAGTTTTATGTAGTAAGATATGTAATATGACACAAAAATATATGAATTATGTACAAAAAGGCATGTCTTATATGTAGTACAAACGATAAGTTGTATCATGTAAAAGGTATATATTAGGACAAAAAAAAAGTTATTTTATCGTAAATTTAAAAAATAAAACAATTATGAATACCAAAAAATTGGCGAGAAAATTATATGCCTGTGATTCTAGTGATGTTTTAATATTAGTCACTGCGCTGACAATTCTTAAATATTTTTAAACCAAGTATTTCAAATAGTAATATAACACCATGATAGTCTATTATAGTAATTATATGCATATATTTATTAATTACGCATATATTTAAATAATACCTTTATAAATTTTCTTTTTAACTCAAAGACATTATTGTTGCTGACGATTCTGTTGGCACACAGTATATTGATTCGTTCCTAATTGGTTGCAGATATTAATAATATTACTGTCATTAATGTTGTAATTTATTTTGCCGCGTCTTTTTTTTTTTACTACAGATTTTATTAGCATTTCATTAACTGGACTTCTCCGTCCTCATAACTGTTAGTTAACGAATATCGAAAATGTGCAGATCACAAGAATAGTTCGAAAATCGAACCAAAAGATCATTTTTGATATTGTGACCCTTAATAAGTTGCGAATGGATCTAAATTGAATGATTGCAAATGGAAAATAAAATTTCAAACATCCAAATTGTAGTGTATAATGTGTATCTTGAACAGAAATAAATTTAATGTATATTTGGATATACGTGCACAGAATTTATATTAGATACACATTCAAATATAAAGAATACGTTGTATATTATGATTTAATTTGATAAATTTGCTTTCTTTATATTAATTAATATTTGCATATATTATAATAATGAACCAAGTTTACTGAATTATAAAGTTATAATGTCAAAATCTTATGAAATGTCAAAATTCTCCGCATAATATATTGAAATTCACCATTAGATATATAATAGCTGTGCACATCCCTAACTAAATAACATTGAGAAGTGCAATCTTATTTAAATAAGCTCAGGAGATTGCTTCCACCGGACCTTGTATTTTGGACAAAACAAACGGTAAATACTTATATTTTACATTAGTTTAGTAGAATGTGCAGTTATTTTTTAAGATGACAGATTAATAAACTTTTTTTTATACACATTTAGAGATCAGATTTTTTTTTATGTGCATTAGCGTAGATAACACAAAATAATTATTAATATTTTAAAAATATATTTTGTAAAAAGAATTAAAATCGCAATAAAATTTTCTCATCTATATTTAATGCTTCATGAATTTTGTTTTTAATAATTGATTTCTTTATAATTTTTTGATTATTTTACTAAATCTTCATCAGGATAATGATATTTTGAAAAGTCATCTGAATTCTATCTAATTTATTGTAATAATGTGCCAGACTCATTTAAAAATAACAGTTGATGGACGAAAAAATATTACGTTATACTCAAAATTTTGGCAATTACCAAAAAAAAATTACATTCCTTTCGAATTTTTTTTAATTTATGTCTTGGCATGAAACTTATTAAAGCTAAACTTGACTATAGCAGTATTTGATTTTTTTTTTCTATTTTATTAAATTTAGATTCTAATTGTCACGTTACGATTTGCGGTGTAACAGCCAATGGAATGCATGTGAGCGACATTGTACAGTACCACTTAAAGAAGTATACGCATTGCATTATTAACCTACGTACCTATTCACTAAAATTAAAATGTATCAATTTATCATTAGAATCAGTCCTGAAATTAGGTTTTCTTAGCTAATTTTAGGCGCTAACTTCAGACATAACCGATACTAGTATTTAATATTTTATATTTAGTAGTGGCAACATTCATATGTGATTATAAGGATGACTAAGATGTAATACTATATGATAATTAGAATAAGATCTTTACTATTGAATGACCAAAATGTCGTAGTGGAAACGATTAATTGCACCGTATTAAGATACAGATAATACGTTATAGTTATTATCGTACGGGTCTGACGTAACAACCCGTGCGTACCCGGGCGAAATTAATTAAAAGTATAATGAAGTATATTCATCGGTTAGTGTACAAATAAAGTTTTAGTTGAAATTACTGATTTATTATAAATATGATTTGTCTTCGCACAGAAATTTTAAGGTAACTCTTTCTTGATATGTTGAATAGAATTTTAACAATCAACGATTTTGAAGCGCTATAATTAATAAACCTTTCCT